TTAATATCCAATCCGTGTAAGAGAACACACAACCTGGTTCTTTATTTTTAAGCCATAAGAAAGATTTAGCTTGAATAGATTCAAATAATTGCATAACAGACATCGCATCTGTCCTAAACACTTGCATATTCCTCCAATACCAGATAAACCAAGCAGTAACCAAAAAAATGAGAGCCCCTAGATCCTTCGACCTTCCCCCACTGATACCATTTACCGCCGACTCCGCCAACCTAAAAATATTATTTGGCAAAACACTTTGTAAACCCCGCCAACCCACAACCTTCATCCATACGAACCATACCCTCTACACTCACAAAAAATATGATGAAGCTGTTCCTCCCCCTCATGACATAAAGGACAACCAGTATCTCCCCCAGACAAAACAATCCCTCTCTTACACAAATTTTCTTTTGTAGCTAATCTATTCAAAAATAATCTCCATCCAAAAACACTCAACTTAGAAGGGACATATTTATTCCAAATAACCTTAGCTCATTTCTCATCAAAAATTTTGATGTTAAAAACTCATATGCCACCTTAACTGAGTAAAAGCCATCAATACTATGCACCCATCTCCAAGAATCCACTCTATTCACCCTCACCTTAATCCCATTAAGCATCTCTCGAAGTTGTTCAGCTTCTCCTACCACACACAACTTCCATCACCAACTTCCCACTTAAAACCATTTACTAACATCTCCACTAGCCTTTCCGACCCACTCCCCAAACTCACAATATCCTTCCATTCTCTAGACATACTCAAGCACACAAAAGAAGTAACATCCACCTTCTTCCTACCCCCATAATATTTTTCCCAAATCACCTTCTTCCATAAACCATCTAAACCATCTCCTAACCTAAACCACCACTTACCCAACAAAGTGCAATTCCTCCTCTCTAAATCAGCCACTCCTAAACCCCCTCTTTCCTTATCCACACACACACAATCCCAACTAACCCATGGAATCTTCTTTTCCACCTTTGCACCACCCCAAAAAAATTGCCTTTGAATTTTAATCGACTCAACAAGAACACATTTAGGAATCTTGAATAAAGACAAATAAAAAATAGGAATAGCAGAGAGTACCGAGTTTATTATGGTGATCTAGCCTTCAAAGGACAATAGTGGGCTTTTCCAAAAAGTAAGTTTTTGACACATACAATTCAACATTGAATTCCAAAATATCTTCCTCTCTGGATTCCCTTCAACAGGTTTTTTCATATATGTAAAAGGCACCTTGCCCACCCCACAACGTTGAATATTTGTTGCTCCTTTTAACCATCATTCGGAAACATTAAAACCATACATGTGGCTCTTGCTAAAATTAATCTTCAATCTTGAGATCAGCTCAAACTAGTGCAGAATAACTTTCACTACTCTTACATTTTCCACGTTAGCCTTCCTCATAAAAACAGTATCGTCTACAAATTGTGATAATGACAACACCAAACCTCCACTTCCAATTTCCACTCCCTTAAAAAGCCCTTCACCCTCAACTTTTTTGACAATCCCACACAACCCTTCCCCTACTAATAGAAATAAAAAAGGGGACAAAGGATCCCCTTGACAAAGCCCTTTACTCATAGAGAATTTTGCTGTCGGGCTACCATTTATTAACATAGAAATTCTCGTTGTTGATAGACATTCCTAAACTTATACTGTCCAGCATCCAATCAAGAAAACCCCAGTTCACACAATCATAAGCTTTCTCAAAATCAGCCTTAAACATAAAGCTCTCTTACTTCCTTCGTTTGACCTTATGCACAACGTCATTCAAAATTAACACACTATCCGCCAATTGCCTACCACCAACAAAAACTGACTGAGAATCACTAATAAGGTCTACCATTACCATTTTCAATCGGTTTTCCAAAACTTTAGCCAGTAGTTTATACAAACACCCAATTAAACTAATAGGCCTATACTTTTTGAAGTGCATTGGATTCAATTTTTTAGGTATTAGTGTTAAGAATGAAGAGTTTAAACCTTTAACTAACCTCCCATGTTGATGAAATTCCTGCATAAACTCCACAAAATCATCCTTCAATGTACTCCAAGCAAACTATATGAAATTAAAATTATAGTCATCTGGTCTCGATGCCTTCGACCCATCACAACTATGAAGTCCTTCTTCAATTTCCTCAACTGAGAAAGGTCTTTCTAACCACTACCTTTCTGCAGCTGATATTCTACGAAATGGAATTCCGCCCATTACAGGACGACTCCACTAGTCGTTTTGGAATAACTTGCAAAAATACCTCACTGCCTTTTTCTTTACCAAATTTGGTTCCTCAACCCACCCATCCTTACCAAAGATGCTCGATATTCCATTCTGAGCTCTCCGTGCATGAACACTTCTATGAAAAAAAGCTATATTTGCATCACCAAGATGAATCCAATTATCCCTTGATTTTTGTTTCCACACAGCTTCCATCTTTCGTAAAATGTCTCATAGCTCCTGAAAGCACTCCTTTCGCAACTGCAACTCATTCTCATTTAGCTCATCCTCCTCACTTTTTTTATCCAACTTCTCAATCTGCTGCACCAAGTTATCAAATCTAACCTCGACATTACCAAACACCACACTATTCCACCTTTTACATTCCTCCTTTAATAACTTCAGCTTTTGTTGACATTTATAGGCTGTCCATCCTTCAATCTGCAATTTTTTCCATCTATCCTCCACAAAATGTCTAAATTTTGGGTGTTGTTGCCATGCATCAAGAACCCGAAATGGCTTGGGTCCCCAATTGATATTCCTCAACTTCAAAATGATTGCACAATGATCTAAAATTGTTCTTCAAACCCCAACTTGAATCCAATCTCTCTCCAATAAGCTCATATCGGTAGATAACAAAAACTTGTCAAGCCTGCTCATTGAAGTTTCATCAGGCCTATACCAAGTAAATTTCCTATTCCTCAATCTAACATCAATTAGCCCAGTCCCATTCACAAATTGATTAAATTCTTCCATATCTTGTGTCTCTCCTAGTCTTCCCTTCCTCCCTACAACACTTCGAACGACATTGAATTCTCCTACTAAAAGCCATTTACCACCTTGCTCCAACACTAAACAACCAATCCCCTCCTATAACTTGGCCTTCCCTTTAGATTCTAACTCCTCATAATGAAGTTTCTTAGCCACCTATATATGCTTCACTACCAACAAACAATGAGAATTTCCACGCTTTGTCACCATCTCATCAATAGCCCAGTTCCATCGCCCCATGCTACAACCTTTCTCACCAGTTGTAATCTTTCACCTTAGCTGTAACATCTCAAATCCCACACTGGTGAGGACCTATGAGTGAGTCTAATATATAAGTGTAAAGACCAACTATTACTAACAACTTGAGCCTGAGCTTGAGCTTTTGAAGGCTTATGGAACTTGGCCCGAAGAGTTGTCAAGCAGTGGCAAATTTCAACTTAAGTCATTTTAGTTGGTATCAAAGCGATCATCTCTTGCAAGTGTGGACCTATGCTAACCATCACAGCCAGTGATAGTATGGATCTTTATCACTTAAGGTGAATCTTATACTTATGGCTCGGTGGAACTAATTCTAATCATACTTGGGCTTGATGAGGACATCAAGCATTAAAGTGGGGGAGAATCCCACATCAATGGGGACTTGTAAGTGAGTCTGGCGAGCTTCAACCTAGGTCATTTCACTAGCACTGCCATTGCTTCACACTAGAATAGTACCCACTAGCTTGCAAGCTTTCACCCAAAATGAATCCTGCACCTATTGTTTGTTCTTCAGCTTCAAATCTTGGCTATATTGATGTCCAACCACTGCTTGCCTTTGATTAGCATGTCTCTAAGAAGCTTGGTGTTTCAAATTAAAACTAGCCATAACTTGTAAAACCGTTAGCCACCAACTGTTCTCAATCACATGGAAAAGGGTTTTTTTTTTTTTTGCTAATAGATATGGTAGTAAAGGAAGAAGAAAAATAAAAGAAGAGATACCCAAATGTACACTATAAAAAAAAAGAGAAAGAAGAAAAAAAATTTCCTAAGGAGAGAGATTTTGAAGGAAGAAATTCACATGAT